TGATGTTATCCATCAAAATAGAGCCCTGGATGAAACCGAGCTGGGTCAGTAAATAATTTTATAATTCATAACTTCATATAGAGATGGATCATAACTTCATATAGAGACAGGTGTATTATTTCTTTTTGGGGTGAGGGGTTTCTATTTTTTATTATTTATTTGTTGTGCATTTGTATTGTATCATGAAGTGCGTAATAAATGTATTTTTCATCTTTTTAAAATACAATCTTTGTGGTGTGGCCAATATTCGCAGGTAGCTCTTGCCATTGAACATTCATAGCTACATGATCAATATGATCTGTTTATTTTCAGGTTAGATCCAATATGACCTAGAGGCTAGATTTCTTGATAGTTTCATAAATGGGGAAGTGTAGAATTAAAGTGACACCTTTTTTGGTTTAATTGAATAGATTACATGGGAAAGGTCCTGAGACACCTTAAGACCCATCTTCATATATAGCTACCATGTACCATTCCATTTGTTCCCAAAAGCTTGACAATTTGATCTACTTTATTATCCAGTTAAAGGTATTATGTCAGAATATTGCAGGTACTAGAGGCTTTGCAGAGCTACATAGATATAAGGCAGTATTACAGTTAGTGAAGATAGGTAATGGCAGGTAGCACCCTGATAGGAAGGCATGCTCTTCTATCAACCAATGGCCATGGAGCCTTAAATTGGAAGGGGAAGTCAGCAATTCTGCCCCATACTCCCCCACTATCTATACTGCACAGGGTCCATCACTGACGTCACCTCTAAACTTTCCTGCATCTATTGACTTGGGGAAGAACAACTACCAATTGTTTAATGATCACTATGAAGGTAAATTGGGCATCAGTTAAACCTTTTGAACCTGGCGTCTAGTTTTATTCAGTTCTGGTGACATGAAGTAATCAGCTGTGATCATTTGTGTCACATACTTTACCCATTATGGAAAACATGCTTCAAATCACTTGTACTGGCAAACAAAATCTAATGGCGGTTGGTACCTGTAACAGTTTTGCATATATTAGATTTTCTTTATAAAAACTGGAATTTCCTGCAGGCCACAGCTATAGTTTTGTAGGATGGTTCCTCCATCAAAGACCTGTGACGTATTGGTGTCCATCCATCTGTAATCCTTTCCAGGAAGGTAGATATCTCGGTGGAAGTGACCTTTTTCCGTGATTGGTGCAATCAGCATCTGAAAGCGAAAATAGTGATTTTCGTTCAGAGTTGAATTTTAATCTTGGAAAAGTGCAGATTCACCCACATCATTTTTCTGCAATGACTAGGTTTTATCTTAGCAGAAATACCTCTCAAAACATTGAAAATGTAACTTTATTATTGATTAAATGCCCAATCACCAGTGCTTCCTTTCCGAGCACCCCCCTACCTCTCTGCTCAAAGCTTATTTCAGCAATGGGAAAATTTCCTGCCATTGTCCAAATACAGTATGGGTAATGACATTACAGGGAACTTAATCACCAGAGTTCACTGAGCACATAAAACCGTGAAAAGCATGGCAAAGAGGAAGGAAGATTACACCACTAGACCTTGGAAATGTAAATATTAGTTTCTGTAAATATCTATATCTGTATATATATATATATAGATATAGATATATATCTGTATATATATATATAGATATATATATA